ATGAACAGAGTCGTTTTTTTTTGCACAATTCTAGATAAAAATGGCAATAATATATATTTTTCTTCTATTTATTCCTTCTATATTAACAATATCAATTGATATACGTTATCCGCAATTTTTTCATCAATCATTATATGATTCTTCTATTGAAATAAGTGAAGGTAAAACTATAGGTAGTTTTATTGCATTTATTAATTTAATAAATGATACAAATATAAATCCAAATGAATGGTCATTAAATACAACAAATAATGATTTTAAAATACAATCTAATGATTTATCATATTCATTAATAACAACACAAATACTTGATCGTGAACGTATAAATTTTTATAATTTTTCTATTGATGCACAACATCTTATTCCACCATATGAAAAAATTTCTAAAAATATTCGTATACGTATACTTGATATAAATGATTGTACACCAAAATTTAATGAAACATTATATAAAACAACAATGATACCTAATGAAACAAATTTTATAATAGAAGCATTTGATTGTGATGAACCAAATACAGATAATAGTCGAATAACATATTCATTATCAAATTATCAAGATTTATTTCATATAAATGAAACAACTGGTTTAATTCAATGTATTAAAAATCTTCATACATATGAACATTATGAAATAATTATTGTTGCACGTGATTATGGTAAACCATCATTATCATCAACAATATTAATACAAATACAATTAATATCATCATTAAAAAATTTCAAAATAAATAAATTTTTATGGTTAAATATAAAAGAAAATTCAAATAATTTAATATTATTATTATTAATAATTATATTTATAATATGTTTTATATTTATTTGTTTATTAATATGTTGTATTAATTATAAAATTCAAAAATGTAAAAATGAAAATTTTAATGAAAAAAAATTTTCATCAACATCAACAATAAATTCATTAAATGATTATCAACAAACAACAGTTTATGATGCTGTTAATTTATTTCCAAATACATATTATTTACCTGTTGAAAAACAACAAATAAATATAAATGAAAATTTAAATCATTCAAATCATAATAATATATCTTTAGATCGACAACAATCATTATCAACAACAAGTAGTCCAATATCAACAAATGATAATGGAATTAAAATGAGTTCTGATGATGGTTGTTATTGTTCAAGTGATATGTCATCAGAACAATCAAATAATATTCTTCTACTTAATCCATCATCATTAACATTATTAACAAATTCAAAATTATGTTCAAAACAAGTACGATTTAATGACAATAATCATAATATTGATAGAATTTTAAAACGTTTTGAAAACTTATATGAAACACAGACAAATACAGATCATTGTGCTTCGTATGTTTAATGTAACAAGTTTGGTTTTCATTTTGTTCTGTTTGTATATGTTTCTTAAGACGACAAAACAAAAAAAAAAAGAACAGTCGATCGATGTGGATCATTAATTTTTTATTTTTAACTAGCGAAAATTAACTATGGAATGTCAATGTTTTTTTTTTCTGATAGTATTTTTGAAAGGTCACTATAGAAGATTGACCATTTATACGTGCTTGTCTATTCCTCATGTGTGCTACAATGAGTATAATCCGTATTGCGTGTATTAGAGATGCGAGACGATGGTAAAATAAGTTGACCATTTCTTTAGCCTTTTTCTCAGACCATTCAATTAGTAACTCTAAATGACAAAGCTATTCCTTGCACTACTCCTAATTGATGTACAAAAGAAACGACTGGATTATATTGAGAAAGAAGAAAACAGAATAGCAGATGTCCGGTCATTTAGAAATATAAAGAAACAATATGTATATATATATTTATTTATGGTATGTTCATATATACAAAAGCTTTATTGGTATGTCATTGAAAACCGATTTGTTTTCGTGCTGTTGTGATTTAAAAATATTTTGATGAGATGACGGGCACACCCTACAGTTTGATCAAACATACTTATTCATTGGAGACAAGCAATTACTCACACGCAGAGAGAATACGATAATGAGAATTTAACAAGGTCCTTCTCTCTCTCTCTCTCTCTTCATTGTGCAAGCAGCTGTAACTGATGAAATCGGCATGATGTCGGCATATACCTGCTTATGTTCAAAAGATTCAATTTGAAATCTCCTTATTTTGTTTTTTGTCTATTTCAATATATATATATATATATGTCGACTTATTGTGGCAAATGAAAAAGAATTAAAATTCTTTAATTCACATATGTCTATTTATTCATTGAGTCTAATCAATACATTGATAGATGTGTGTATATACACCTGTCTAAGTCGTGATGATTATACTTAATAAAACAACAACATGATAATAAGTATTTTGTCTTAATGATTAATATTGAATTTACCACCTTGAAAAATTTATTTTAATGTAAGAGAATTAAAACCAAATTGACAGATATTGTCTATATACTATTTACATCTAATCTATATTCAAAATATGTTTATGAATCTGTCTTTATTTCAATCACAAGGCTATCAATACTGTCATTACTTCTTTGTTTTTTATTCTCTTTTCATATTCAATTTCAATATTGACCATCGCGATTGATGATCATATTCGAAAAAGCATTGACCTTCAATTCAATAGAAAAAGTCAAGCTGTCCTTTTGTCTTTATATGTATAGAATAAAAGATTTCATTAGTGAACAATATTGCTTTTTAAATAGGTGAACATAAACTAAAACTTGTTTACTATCATATACTTGAAGAGTGTATGAATATTATATAGCATCATGATTGTTTATTTAACTGTTCTTCTCTCATATGCAAATTATGTTATTCAATAAAATGCTTTTTTTAGTTTTTCGGGAGTGTCCGATTCGATCATAGTTCATTAAATTAAAAGGATATGAGAAGTCTTTACTTATTTTTATGATTAGTTGAGTAGAGTTCATATAATAATCTCGCTGAAATCAAATTGACATGTCACTGATGATTGTTAAGACAAACATATTGAATATAAAAGAATAACAATAAGTAATATGCAATTTGTAATTACACATCATACTGTACTTGTACATAATTATTAAAATTTATAATTACAAATTCAATGTGACAAAATCATAAAAACAGACAACTTAATGTTTTTCTCATTGTATATATACCCCTGAAAAGCAAAAGTTGGACTTTGTATTTCGAATATATTTGCACTAAAGAAGTACATTTTAAAAATACAAATTACATATTCTGAAAGCTCGTGGAGTTCTCTATCATGTTGTATAATTATGTTTTTGTTTAGATCTATTCGTTACCGAAATAAATTGCATACAACGAAGACACCCCTATATCGCAATTCCCAACAATTTTATTCTTTTTTTCTCCAATCAAAATTAGTTCTTTGAATTTTTCATCCATATAGGATTACCAAATTAAAAAAGCAGTTATAGATTCTGATAGAGCTTAAAAATCTCTATCACCCCATATATTTGCTTATTTTTTTGCGTTCACCTATCAAAAAATAATTTAAGTACAATGAAAAAATTCTGAATCGACAAATACAGAATATTTGCGTTTTTCATTGTTTTTGCAGCTCTCTTTTTGAATTTATTACTACTACCAGAAACTCATTTTTTTGATTAAGCAGTTATATTCTGGTAGAGCTTGAAATGCTCTATCGCTCTGCGCATTTCTTAACTATCGTGCGATGGTGTGCTGGAGAATAATTTGAATATTACATCGATATACTCGTTGACAACCTCTAAAAGTAAGTAGCTTTTTTTATTCACTCTCTCATTTCTTGTCTCAAAAGTGCAGAATGATAGAGAATTTCAAGCTCTACCAGAATATATAATTGCTTATTCAAAAACATTTTCGCATAATAATAATAATAAATGCAAAAAGGGAACACCAACCGCAACGAAAAATACCAATTTTAGACACTTGTCAATTGATGGTGTATTCACTGTACTCAAGTTTTTCTTAAAACAAATGAACATAATAAAATAAGTAAATATACAGAGCGATCGAGAATTTCAAGCTCTATCTGAATCTGTGAGCACCTTTTTTAAAATTTTGTTTTTAAAGTAACTATATTATCAAAAAAAGAGAAAAACAACGATTTTCTGTATTTGTCCATTCAGAATTTTTTCATTGTACCTCACTTATTTTTCGAGAGGTGAACGCAAGAAAATAATCAAATATATGGGATGTTAGAGATTTTTAAGCTCTATCAGAATCTACAACTGCTTTTTTAATTTGATAATCCTATATGGATGAAAAGATCAAAGAACTAATTTTGATTGGAGAAAAAAAAAATAAAATTTTTGGGAATTGCGATATAGGGGTGTCTTCGTTGTATGCAATTTATTTCGGTAACGAATAGATCTAAATAAAAACATAATTATACAACATGATAGAGAACTCCATGGGCTTTCAGAATATGTAATTTGTATTTTTAAAATGTACTTCTTTAGTGCAAATATATTCGAAATACAAAGTCCAACTTTTGCTTTCCAGGGGTATATATATAACACAAGGGGGGGGGGGGGTGACGCGGATCCCGAGATCCAGCGGGATCCATCGGGATCTGCAGGATCCTGGGATCCGCTTTTTCTCCCTTGATATAACGTGCCAGACTATTATAAATGTTGATAGGTTTTATTAAATATAATTATGTATTATTGTAATTGATTTTATTATAACTGAACTGAGAAATGAATGATCGAGTAGAACTGATTCTCGGAATAAAACTTAATCTAAATAATATAGATTATTGATTAGAAATAAAATAAATAATTATATTAGTTTTTATTCATAGATAGAAGTATAACCAATTTTTAGGAAATAATCATTTGACTTAAAATTTATCTTGAAAATATAATACGAATATTTCATATTTGACTTTCTAATATAAGACAAATAGTAAGGGCATATTTAATCTCGATATTTTTTTTTTGTTTTGTTATCTACCTTTGTCGTCATTATTGGTCACGTTTAATATGACTCAAATTTAACAATAAATATGCTTGATAAAAGATTATTTTCAATTTAATTATCATGTCAAAAAGTGAATTAAATAATACCGATAGAAATATTTTAAATGAATTTCCACTAACATATCAACATGCTTGTATGACATTTACTATGAATGATCGTTTGAGATTCTTTCGATTTCCATTAACAATTATTAATATTATTCGAAAAGTTATTAATACAACATGGTTAAATGGCTTACAGAATGAAAAACAAGATGCAGATTTTTATGAATTTAAATTTCATGGAAATCCTTGGTCGAGTAGAGAAAGTGGAAATATGTCATCACGAATCATGATGTAATTTTTTTTTTCATTTAATTACCTTAACGTTTTTTTGTTTTGTTATAATTTTCTTTTTATTTAGATTACATATTCTTTCAGTTTTGCATAGTCATGGTTGGTCTCTTGTAACATCAAATGATTTTTCTCGATTAACTGAAGATCGTAATTCATTAATTTTTCAATTAGGTATACGTCCATTAGCAACATCATTTTTTGCTATTACACGTTATGATCTTGATAAATTACGTTTAATATGTATTTCATCTGATATTATTCAAGCAGTCAAACGTATATTTGGTGAAAATAATATTCAAAGAGAAGAATGGCTTGATGATGGACGAACTTGTTGTCAATTGAAAATGTATGAAATATTTTTCTTGTTTTTTAATCTTTAAAATTTTCGTGCATATATATATATAGACGTGGTAGGCCATGGTCATGTGATGAAACAATTTTCAGTCGAACGAGATTACTTTCGTTACTCGATTGTTTTACTTCATTAAATTGTCAATTGTATACAGGAGTTTATTTCAATACGCTGCCTGATAGTACTACTGAAGCAGATACTTGGATTTTTTGTCGAAACATTCAATGATTATTCAATATTACTACAAAATAAATAAATAAATTCGTATAAATTAAAACTTAATGTTTTTCTTTAATTAAGAGAAACTTTTTTGAATCAATTTGTTGGATTATTTTTAATTGAGATGACTTCAAAATAATATTTAATTCTCATTTTCATACTCATCTTGCATTTGCTTGGTTTCTCAACGATGAATATATAACATATATATATATAGCGCGAGGAAAAAAAAAAGGAGTTACTTTTCTATCCAACAAATAATTGTCAAAGTTCAAATCTTAATTTTTCTCACTCAACGCTTATAGACAAACCAAATGTTTCTTTTCCAACAGTCATCCAAACCTGGATTTGAGTTTTAACACAGCATGTATGAAATAAGTTTAGCTCAAGTAACAGAGTTTTTTTTATAGTGCTTTTAAAAAAAATGAAACAGTATTGATGGACAGAAGAAAAATAAAAGTGATATTGTCTTTTTCTTTTCAAGCAAGACTATTGCGATCGAGTTGAGTTTCGTTCGCATTATAATCACTCTGTAACTGAAACATCAATATTCATATAGTCTTGTTCTACAGACTTTGTTGAAAATTTAAGACCGACATACTTTCAATTATGTTTCCTATGATACCAAATATTTAACTCAAATCCAAATAGCCAAGAAACTTGTCTTAAAAAGTCATTGTTTTGCTTTTTGTGATGCTAATAACTTTTTAAGACAATATCATTGAAAATACAATGGCCACTCATTTTACTCCGGAATTTGTGCTCTTTAAGATGGACCTCTTAACATTTTTTTTTGGAATCTGAAAACTAGCATGTTTATTTTTTTTTTTTTTTGAGGAATCTTATTGATTAGTTATTTAAGCCACTATTTGTTTTTGAGTTCTATGCATGGTAATGTAGAAAAAAAAACAACAAAAATCTTTTATCTTACGCTTTTGACGAGTATTTCATAGAATATAATCGTTCATAAAAAGTAAACTTTTTAATCTAAATATACAATTTCGAATGTTATATTACAATGAAGTATAAACGACTTTCTCTTCATGTTTATTTTTATGTGAAGCTCTAAATAATTTTGATGAGAATCCATACCATAACAGGTATACAACCTGAGAGAAATTATATTTTTGAATCAATTTTGTGATGATTTTTTATTTTATCATAAAATATTAATAACATCTCACTAAAGAGACATAGAGACTTTTTTTGTTTTACCAAGATAATATTGAGATTATCCTCTATCTATAATATGAAGTTGAATTGTTAGATATTAGTAGTTTCAGAAATAGAATTATTTTACTATCGAACGTTAGTTTTCAAGTTTGAGACTATCATTTGAAAAAATTTAAAACTTAACTGGGTGATGTTATTTTCATTTTCAAATTGTACGACATGCTCTAAAATGTCTTTCTATTATTTATACAAAGTATGAAGGCTCAATAGTCTATGATTCGAGAAATTCATTGAAAATCAACTTGCATTATTGAAACATACATAGAGAGAACATATTCATACGTTGAATGCTATCAATAAGACTTCATATTCACCTCCTTAACCCTAAGTCATTTCATTTATTTAGCTTCTTTTTCATTTCAACAAAATTAATAGCATATTTAAGATTAACTGATAAAACTGCATCATCACACATTGATACCGTTCTGTCGTTCTTTGTAAGTTATTTTAACTCTAAAAAATTCCTACAGAATTTAATGCGCTTGTCTTCAAATGATTAACATAATAAATAGTAGTTATTTTTGTTTATTATGACCACTGATAAACGTGTTGGTACATTTATCATGCAGGATTAAAGTATAAAACACGATCTACTAGTTGCTGTTACTAATAATATGGAGATTGCTTTATTCTACCTATTTTGAAACACACTTCTGCATCATATTTTTACTTAATTCTGCTGAAACATAATAAGAAAGTAGTTCACATAGTATAACGAGATGTTATTAATATATAGTCTTTAATTATATACCAATAACATCTGTCTTGGTTCTGACCAGGATTATCAATATTTCTAGAGATGAGCTCACTGCGCTCTACTTCCTTCCATAATAGATGACCTACTATCAGGTCGTTTCTATTTCACGTTTATTTTCCGCCAGAGAAAGGCAAGTAGTATTTCAAAATTCTTCTTGTGTTCAATGTTACTACGATCATAACAAAAATTATAACTATAATGAATACATATATATGATAGAAATTTTCAGACTGAATCATGTCAAAAAATAACGTAAACATCGTTTCGAATAATCTACCAACTTATATACTTGATCAACATGCTTGTGTTATACTGAACATGACTGATCGTCTTCGATTAATTCGATTTCCACCATCAATTATTGATATGATTCGTCAAGTTATTATAAGTAATTGGCCACAAGGTTTGAATAAAGAAAGAGAAGAAGTTGATTTTTATGAATTTAAATTGAATGGAAATCCTTGGTGGGATCCAGATGATAATGCTGTATCATCTCGAATTTTAATGTAAATTTTTTATTTTGATTATCTGTCTACTTTCATAACATATCATTTATTTTAGGATTCATATTCTTTCAGCTCTCTATAAACATGGTTGGTATATATTAACAGCCACTGAAATATTTAAAAGATTTTTCGACAAAGATTCATTAATATTTCAATTTCGAATACCTCAACCAGAAACATCATTTTTTGCCATTTCATTTAATGATTACGATAAATTACGATTGATCTGTGTTCCACATGAACTTATTCCATTAGTACAACAAACTCTTGGTAAAACAATGATTCAACAAGAAACATGGCGTGATGGTGGAAGAGTTTATCAATTTAAATTGTATGAAATTTAATTTTTCTTTTCTTTTTATTATTAAGAAAGAAAAAAAAACAAACTTTCTATTCCTAGACATGGTCAGCCATGGATAGGTCATGGAAAAGAAGCAATTATTTCTCAATTAAAACTTCTTTCTTTACTTGATTGTTTAACTAAATTTGGTTGGAAATTATATGCAAGTATTGATATAAGTCAAGGTGAAGATGACAAAGATACAGACTCGTGGTTTTTTCGTCGAGATGTTCAATAAATATTCAAAAGTTACTTATCAAATATTTTATCTCATGTAATTATTCTAACGGGTGACCCATAATAAATGGCCCGCACTTTGCATTGCATATTTTAATTTCAAAATACATATTATTAAAAAAAAAAAAACTTTATCACGAGATGCAGCGTAAAAAGCTCTATAATTTGCACAGAGCAGTTTATTTTATACATGAAATAAGAAAAAAGGAATTTCTCGCCCATGTTGAAAAATATAATGCTTTCACAACGGCAAAAATTGATCGTACATAGTTTTGAAAAGAAAAAGTGCGCAATTAAAATAAGCTCTACTTCCTTGATTGTAAAACTTTTCACGCTGCATCTTGTGGTATATTTTGTTTTTTTAATAATACGTATTTTAAAATTAAAATATGCAATGCAAAGTGCGGTCATTTATTATGGATCACCCGTTATTTATTGTTGTAATGTTTCAATGACTGTAAAATATTTTGTCAAAATTATTACAATGAATTTTTTGCTTAAATACAAATATGCTTATTATCATAAAATAAAAATAAAAAAATCTATTCGTTTTCTAGTGTTATATTGACTTCATGCCAAATTAAAATAATAATTATATATAAAGATTTCATGAGTAATAATATTAATGATCACAGCTCTGAATAAAAAGCCATGGCTTTATATTATAGAAATTTACATCACTCTTCGAAAAGTGACTTTCTATTGCGAGCTAGCCTTTTTTTTTTTTTTTTTTGCTAACATTTATCTAGGAAAAGGTAATAACAATTACAAAAAAATGGCTTATCACTCAAAAACTAGACTTTTAGATGCTAAAACTGACAAAAATTTTTGGAAAAGAAAGTATAGACATTATATTCAATATTCCACATATTTATGTTAAATACTTTCATTGAAATATGAATCATAAGAATAAACCTAAATTTTAAGATCAAATTTTTCGTCATCAACAATTATAGATGAATAAATCAATCATATATTTTTAACTCCATATTGAAAAATTCATATTATGTTAAAAGATTTTTATAAGACGATACAGTATTTGTCTTATCACTTATACGCAATAATCTTGTTTAGTCATATGACACTTGAAGATGTGTCAGTTTATTAAAAAAAAAGAAAAAAGATGTGTTAATTCTGACAGTTATCTTCATTCTTTTTTTTTTTTTTTGTTAAAAGCAATCTACCATCTGTTTTTCTTCTTACTCATTTTCTCGTCCTACAAGGACAATCATATTGATAAAGAGAGATTACATTTCTAACATATTAATTAATCAGAACAACCATATAGTTATCAAAACTTCTCGATGAAGAAACTTTTAAAACTTTTTCTTTTTAATTTTCTTGATGCTTGAATCTACATAAGGTTATTGTTTACATTAATTATCTATAGTTCATGTATTATTACTATGGTAGCTTTGATGATCATACTAGCAATAGTAAACAAAAAAGGCTTTTCATTGGTTAATATAAATGATTAGAAGTAGTTTTTCTTGCAATTGAAGACTTTAAAAAGACAATGTCATCTTTGATGAAAAAGAACTCAACATCATAGGAATTACTTGCCAACTTCTTATCATCCACTAATCAACCTTGCAACAAAAATGATACTTTTTTAAGACTAGGTACGCATAATAACAGATGCAAGATGTCAGTCATGATTAGTAAAAATTTTTAAATGGAGTTGATATTATTTGACGATTCATAATGAAGATAAGAATAACACAGTGAAAAATAAA